TCTGGGAAGGGACAGCTGCTCTGGAGTCTGGACATGAAGGGGACTTCTGGAAAGTAGGCCCGAGGACAGCAGACAGGGGCAGAGTTGCTCGCCAGGAGGGGTGGCTCCTCAGGGACATGGGCACACACTGCTGGGAGGCAGAAGGATTCAGGGAGCAGGTTCAGGGAGCTCGGCAGGGACAGACCAGGTTCTGAACAGCAGCTCCATGCCTGGTGGAAGGAGCAAATCAATGTCAGGGCCTGCCGATGGGCGAGGGGTGAGTAATGCCTGGGCCCCAGGCTGGGAAGACCATGGGTTTGGCCATGACACCACAGGTGATGGGCAGCAACCCCCCGGCTCCAAGGATTCCAGTTCTCTGCAGGAGAAAGACACCACTTCTAGTGGGACCCGTGAAGGGCCACGGGGCTCTAGGGGCAGGAAGGGTACACCAGGCCAAGAGGTGGCTGGTGGATGTCAAGGTTCAGGCCTCAGAAGGGACAGATCTGGTGGCCCAGAGGATGCAGGAGTCCTGGGCAAAGGGAATTCCACTGAGTGGGGAAATGGATTCACCCCTGCTGGGGAGTCACGACCTCGGGGGGCCTGGAATGGCTTAGATAGTCCCTTTGGCAGAAAAGGCTCTGGAGACAGACCAGGAGGGAGCCAGGGCCTGGGCTCTCAGCTAGGCAAAGGACAGAGAGGGGGCCGGGGTTCCCTCAGAAAGCAGGAATCGTTCTGGGAGCAGGGGTCACTGGAGGCTGAGAATGGCAAGGCCCAGGGTTCTGGGGCCCTGAACGAGTATGAGAGATGGGAAGCAGAAGGGTCTGGTGGGTCGGATGGGAGGCCTGGTGCACTCAGGAGCGGGTCTCAAGCACAGGCAGGGGATGAGTTTGGAGTAGCAAAGGGAAGGGGAGTAGATGAGGCCAGAGGCCTGGGACAGTCACCCAGACATGAGAACAGAGGGTGCCTGGGGGCAACTCCGAGTGAAGACCAGAGCAGGGAGCCCCCACGTCATCTCAGCAGCAGGAGAGGTGGCAAAGAGGGCGGGTCAGACGTCCATGGCGAGGGGCGGGATGCCACCCGGAGTCCCAGATCCAGATCCAAGCCTGGTGCCAGCAGTTTCTCCAAGGAGGCCCGAGGTAGGTATTTCCCAGCTGGGCGGGCTCCTGTGGGGCAGAACCAAGGGGGACCTCCCTGGACACTGACATGCCCGTGTTGGTCCCAATTCTGCCTCCAGCCCAGGAGTTTGTCCCTGCCAGCACCCCCCATTTTCAGGACCCCCTTTCAAATTCAGGAAGCAACCTCTTCCTCATGCAAGTGGGATCCACGCTGAACGAGGCTCAGAGGTTTCCTGAGCATCTGGTCTTGAAATTCTATGTCCAAATTACCAGAGTTGTTGGCTTAACTCTTACCCAGACCTCCCACTTGTGTGACTTGGGGGGGCCCTTCACCTGCTTTGCACCCCAGATCTCCTGTACCAACCTAGGTCCTGCTGAGAAAAATAGGAGCTTGGGATTGCTGGCACCAGCTGAGCCCAGTTGGCAGGACACTGCAGTGCAGGCCATGGCCTGGGAGGCTAGGTCTTGAGGACTCCCTGTGTGTCTCTCCAGGCCCCGTAGACCACTTCTCCCAGGGCCTGGCTGACATGGAGGTACAGCAGGGGGAGGCCGTCACGCTGTCCTGTGTCCTCACCAGTGACCTGGGACCTGGCACCTGGTTTAAGGATGGAGTCAAGGTACTGCCCCTCAGCCCTTCTCTTTACCAGGGGGAGGGATGGGTAAAGCTTAAAGAAGCAGAGGGTAGAGGCTGTGCAAGAAAAGATGTTTCACTCTTCGGTTGACTAACACACCCACCCTGGGAGAAGTCGAAGTAGCCAGCACTTGGTGTGTTTGAGACAAAACTGAACTTTGTAAATGGGTGTGTATCCTGCTCACTCCTCTCTCCACACGCCCCTTGTTCTTCCACCATCCAAGGCCTCGTACAGATGCCGCCTTGCCACCCCAGCCACCTGGGGCCTCTCGTCTCTCTGCAGAGCCCCTCTGTCCTCCATCACAGCTGCCCTCTCAGGAGGTGATGCAGTGCAGTGACAGGGCAGTGGCGTCAGCTGGGTCAGGCTTGAGGTACCAGCTCTGCCACTACCAGTTATGTGACCTTGGGCAAGAGGCTGAACATTCTGGTTTCCTTATCTACAAAATGGGACTAATAATAGCACCTGCTTCATAAGGTTGTTGTGACAATGAAGTAAGGCACTAAGCACGGAGAGCATTAGCTCATGCCTGGTGCAGGATAAGCATCCATTCACGCAGCTGTGAGGGTTCCAGTCGAGGGCTCCGGTTAACTCACATGGAGGAGCCAGGGTGGGGTGGGGGTGACCATCTCCTGCT